ACCATCATTCCCACACCATTTCTTCCCTTCTTTCTCCTCTAATCCTTTCCCTTTCCCATTGCCCACGACACTCGTGTCCAGAAATCCCCTTCCTTGACCCCTCAGTCCCCAACTCCCTCCCAGTCCCTCCCAGTTTTCTCCCCTTCCCCATTTCTCCTGTCCCCACCCCTGCCCTGCTTCATTCCCTGTGTCCCCTCCACTGGAATCCCTTCCTCCTCCCCCACATCCCCCACAGTCCCATCCCTTCCACACCCCAATGTCCATCCTGTGGGCTCCCCAATTCCCCCCACTTCACCCTCTTTGGGTCCCCTCCTCCTCCCCCCACCCTCCCTGCAGGCCCTGAATTCCCCTGGCTCTCCTTGTCTCCATCCCCACCCTGGGCCCTACAGGAACAGGGATCCAAGGGGAAACTGGGTGCAGTGGGGCTGGACGGAGCAGAAGGGATTTTCCCCCTCAGACCGGGGCCAACCATGGGCTGGGGGGTCTGGGGACACCCGTGTCCCTCCCCCAGCCCCACAGGGGCCAATCCTACTTTAATCTTTGCTCTCCTTCCCCAGCCAATCGCGGGACAAGGAGGAGGTGGATGTGTTGGGGTAAGTCCTGGAGTTGGGATGTCCCCAGTGTGGGAAATGGGGGGAAATGTAGTCCCCCCATCCCTCCTGGGCCTGGGAACACCCCAGTGACCAGTGACACCTCACGCTCTCTCTCCAGGGAGGCATGGATGTCCATCGAGTGAAGAGGTCTGAGGTGGGTACCCCGAGTTCTACTGGGCCCAGACCCTCCCCTCTCATGGCCATGACCCTCCCCGGCATCCCAGTGTGTCCTAGTCCATCCCAGTGTGTCCCAGTCCATCCCACTGTGTCCCAGTCCACCCCAGTGTGTCCCAGTACATCCCAGTGGGCCCCAGTACAGCCCAGTGGGCCCCAGTCTACCCCAGTGGGCCCCAGTCCATCCCAGTGTGTCTCAGTCCATCCCAGTGTGTCCCAGTACAGCCCAGTGTGTCCCAGTACATCCCAGTGTGTCCCAGTCCAGCCCAGTGTGCCCCAGCCCAGCCCAGTGTGCCCCAGTCCAGCCCAGTGTGTCTCTAACCCTGCCTTTGTCCCCAGCCCCCCGTGGCTGACCAGGTGGAGCTGCTGCGCCAGTGACGCTCGACTGCCTCTCTGCATGTCCAGGTG